ATAATAGTATATATATATATAAATTAGTATATATATATATATATATATATGGTATATACACGCACATATCTATCTATATATATATAAATATATATATATATATATTGAAATATACATATATATATATTGAATATTGAAATATACATATATATACATACATACATTTATACATATATAAATATATATATATATACGTCTGTATCAATCTATGTACATAAAACATGTGCATAATTTAAACCACACCCCGACTATATATATACCACTGCCAGGTATTCACACGGGCGCAAGAATAGACAATGAGCGAATCAAACGACACTTACCCACGCTCCACCAGGTAGCCAAGGATGGACGGATCAATGTCACCGCATCTAAAAATAGCGTTGCGGTATTGGAGTAAATAAGGAACATGTTAAAAGTGACGTTTTACTAAATCTGGCAGTCATAGCAACTGGCGGTCACACAAGAGGACAAGCGCGCGATGGGAAAGGCCACTGCTGTGATCCTCTACGTTTGGCAAACACTTGTACGTACGAACGGATATATACAAGCACTCACTATACAAACATGCCTATATCTACAGTGTACTGTGCGTGCGTTTATAAATATTTACCACACCGGCTATATCTTATTTATTCATTGTACTTTACATGATTACATGTATGTTGTTAATATCTTATTTCTGCATTGTACTATACATGATTACTTATGCATTTTGTTAATATCTTATTTCTGCATTGTACTATAAATGATTACTTATGTGTGTTGTTAATATCTTATTTCTGCAGTATACTATACATGATTACTTATGTATGTTGTTAATATCTTATTTCTGCAGTATACTATACAAGATTACTTCTGTATGTAGTTAATAACTGCATGATTTGAAGAGACGGACACTGCCTGTCGCTGTGGGTTGCCCATGAATAGCAGCGATACGCAACAACACCAGAAGAATCACATTCAAACAGAACACTCACTGAGTTTGAAGACTTCTGAGTCAATTATTGTAAGAAAGTTATTGAACTGATCGGATTGATACGTACGCATACAAACGACTAACTTACACCCATCACAAGAAACTCGATAATACACACACACACACACATACATACACATACACACACATACACACACGCATATATATATATATATATATATATATATATATGTTTGTGTGTGTGAGAGAGAGAGAGAGAGAGTATATATATATATACGTATTATGTACGCATGCATACATGCACACATGCGTACCGTGTGCCCATCATCAGGCCCTCCAGGGGAGTGAGGCCCATGCTGGTGTCTACCACTCGGCCGTCTTTGATTGCTGATGCACTGGCACCGTTGCCCACGTGCAGTGTGATGAGATTAGTCACTGACAGCGCTTTGCCCAAATGTGCCGCCGCTCGCGTTGCTGTGGCGGAACAAACGAACAAATGGACTCACATTAAAGTATCATTCATGAAATGCAATAAAGATCATGTTTTAAAGGCGTTATACTTCATGAATAATATGTACTAAATGTATTAAACTGCAATGCATTTTTATGTATTAATGCATTTAATATATTAAATAATATGTATCATATGTATTAAGCTATAATGCATTATTTGAATCAAATATACTATAAATATAATGAATAATATGTATTATATGTATTAAACTATAATGCATTATATGTATTAATTATATATAAATATAATGAATAATATGTATTATATGTATTAAACTATATTGCATTATATGTATCAATTATAAATGTAATGCATCATACGTATTAAATGTATCAAACTATAATGCATAATTTGTATTTAATATATTGAATAATATGTAATATACGTATTAAACTATAATGCATTATGTATCAAACTATAATGCATTTTTGTATTTAATATATTGAATAATATGTATTAAACTATAATGCATTATATGTATCAATTATAGTTAAATGTAATGCCTCATATGTATTAAATGTATCAAACTTAATGCATTATTTGTATTAAATACATTAAATTATAATGCATTGTGTAAAAGGTATTAAACTACAACACATTGTATGTATTAAATTTATTTTTTATAAGGTATAATATGTATTGAAAGTATTGAATTATATTGCATCATATGCATTCAATGTACTAAGCTATAGTGCACTAAAAGCATTGATCGTCCATCCATTGAATTGTCGTACAGTCAGTTCACGTATCATATACTCAGAAGATACCAAACATAAACATACCCACATACTGATGACTGGTGCCGTGGAAACCATAGCGACGCACTCTGTCGTCGGTATAGTACTTGTAGTCAATGGGATAGATGTATGCGTAGTCTGGCATAGACGAGTGGAACGATGTGTCGAACACGGCCACTTGCGGAGTGTTGGGAAACAACTTCTGCGCAACTGTATGGAAAGGAGATGCATTAGTCAAAGGCATGCAACACCTATAGATATAGTAATGAATCATATATATATATAACTAGTAAACACTCCAGAAAATCCATATAAAACCTATATAAAACCGATTTAGTGATGAATTCTATACAAATGACAATAATAAAACCCATATAAAACCTATTGAAATGTTAATGAGCATTTTATAAAACCAAAATAATAAACCCTACATCAAACCTATATCAACTAAGGGCATTGTTTTTTAATCAATAAATGCACGTTTCAATTAAAAGACATTTAACAGTAGGAAAAAGACCACTCAATAGGAGTGTTTGTATCATTACTACATCACTATACGCAAATGAACGCACACAGTACACACTGTGGCTATACGCAAATGAACACACGCAGCACACACTGTGGCTATACACAAATGACACACACAGCACACACTGTGGCACATGCATCATTATACAAAGACCACTCAATAAGAGTGATTAGATTACTACATCACTATACGCAAATGAACACACACAGCACACACTGTGGCACATGCATCAGTGTCTGCAACGGAATCGCACAACTCAGGTCTACGTGTGCGTGATGTTATCATGACATCCATACCACTATATGGAAGTGGAGAGAGAGTGCTTCAAGAAAACCTAACACCCAACAGTGCGTGCACTTAGAGCAAAACCCTAAAAACCTAAAATACATAGCAACAAGGAGATCAGACAACACAGTCCTCTACCCACAACAACACACGCCTCAAAGGCATTACATCGAAACCAAATCACTATAGGTGCACGTACATGGGCTACTCTGTAAACCTTGGGGCTAAAGGTAACCCTGAAAGCACCCAGCCACCCCACAAAAGCACGATATTATGCCTCTGTTGGCATTGGAAAACCACATCACAAACATAGGCACAGGCGCACATCCAGAACAACCATGTACACATGCAAAGCCACTGACACGGCCACGGTCCACTAGACACGGACCATCAATGCCCTGAGATTAATACTACGAACATAAAACACCTTAAACAAAGTAACCACACACATACTCACCATCAATAAAGACATACAACACC